GGCTCTGGGACAAGTCTCAGGGAAAGTGGTTCACCTTTTCCCAGAGTGGGGAACCCTGGCTGTCACTGCTGGTCAGGTCTTCCTCCTATTCCCTAGAGAATGGAGTACAGGGGCTGGTGTTCTCGTCTCTCTTTCACTGTCTGTCAGTTGGGGGTGGGCCTCTTCTGGTGCCTCTGCAGCCAGCCTTCCCCCATGCCAAGCATGGAACACGCAGCAGTGGGGCAGAGGCTGCTCAGTGAGGGCTGAGCGTGTGGGGTTTGAATGGAGACTGAAAGCGCTGGTCCTCCCGCTCTGTCCGCCCCCTGTGGCACTTGTGTGGTGGGCAGGGCCTGGAGGGCCTCCTGACCTTCCTCTCTGCCGTAGCAGCGATGGAGACACAGACAGCGTCAGCACCATGGTGGTCCACGACGTGGAGGAGATAGCTGGGACCCAGACCCCCTACGGGGGCGGCACCATGGTGGTGCAGCGCGTGAGTGGGCCCCCCATTCTTCCCGTTGCCTGCCGTGCGCCCTCCTTGGCCCTGGCACTGGCCCCCCTTCCCTCTGTTCCTTTAGACTCCTGAAGAAGAGCGAAGCCTGCTGCACGCCGATAGCAACGGCTACACAAACCTGCCGGACGTGGTCCAGCCCAGCCACTCGCCCACCGAGAGCAGTAAGGGTCAAAGCCCTCCCTCGAAGGATGGAGGCAGTGATGTAAGTGGGTGGAGAGAGGAGAGCGTCGGCAGCGGGCAGGGGTTCTGAGGGGTATTGGGATGGAGGGGACACTGCAGTGGGCAGTGCAGCGTGCCCGGGAGCTGGTTGACCAGGGTTCCAGTGGGAGGGCCATGGGCTGGGGTCTCATGTGTTTGCCTGACTGCTGCCCCCACCCCCACAGTACCAGTCTCGTGGGCTGGTAAAGGCCCCTGGCAAGAGCTCCTTCACGATGTTTGTGGACCTAGGGATCTACCAGCCTGGAGGCAGTGGGGACACCATCCCCATCACAGGTGAGGATGGGAGAACAGGTCTGCCATGAGGCCTGGGGAGGGGCACAGCTTGACGAAGCAGAGTCACCGCCTTCCCTTTGGCCTGAGCACTTGCCCTGGCCCAGAGGCAGCAAGGGCTTCTGGCTTCATTGACCCAAGAGGAAAACTGCACAGAGCGGCCCAGGACCTGAGTGACAGGATGAGGACTTGGCCAGGGCTTTGGGCTCTATTTCTGCTCCTCCATGTACCCTCTCCATTCTCCAGTCTTGCCCTTTCCTTCTGAGTGTTCAGAGGAGCCAAGACCAAATGTGGAGAGTCAGGTAAGCAGCCCACCTGCTTACCCTCTCCTCTCCTCTTCCCGGCAGCCTTAGTGGGTGGAGAGGGCAGTCGGCTCGATCAGCTGCAGTATGATGTGCGGAAAGGCTCTGTGGTCAACGTGAACCCCACCAACACCCGGGCCCACAGTGAAACCCCCGAGATTCGGAAGTACAAGAAGCGCTTCAATTCCGAGATCCTCTGTGCGGCCCTTTGGGGTAATCCAGGGCCGGGAAGGAAAAGAGGGGTGTGGTGTGCTCCTGTGCTCCTGGTCAGGTGAGGGCCTGGCTCTGCCTCTCATCTGCCCAAGGGCTCCTATTGCAGGGGTCAACCTGCTGGTGGGCACCGAGAACGGGCTGATGCTGCTGGACCGAAGTGGGCAGGGCAAGGTGTACGGACTCATCGGGCGGCGACGCTTCCAGCAAATGGATGTGCTGGAAGGGCTCAACTTGCTCATCACCATCTCAGGTACGCGTGTGGAGTGCGGGCCGGGGGCAGGGCCGGGAGGAGGGGGCTCAGCTCCTCGGCTCTCTGTCACCATCTTCAGCCTGGGAGGCGGGCAACCTTGGTCCAGGAGCCGGAAGGTGGGGCCACACTTTCTCAGCCCTTGTGGTATGCAGATAAAGGATGGCGGGGAGGCAGAAACTGGACCTCCGATGAGGGAGTGTGTGTGTCCGCTCCTCAGGGAAAAGGAACAAACTGCGGGTGTATTACCTGTCCTGGCTCCGGAACAAGATTCTGCACAATGACCCAGAAGTGGAGAAGAAGCAGGGCTGGACCACCGTGGGGGACATGGAGGGCTGCGGGCACTACCGCGTTGGTGAGGAGGTCACAACAGGGCGACCAGGGCACGTTTGTTTGTGAGAAGAGAGAAACAGGGGCCTGGGCTTAACAGCTAAGAAAGCCTTGAAGCTAGAGACTTGGGGCCTGGGCTTGGGGCTGTAGTGACAGACCTGTGGGAGGGGGCCAGCAGCCCAAGAAAGGAAGTCCCTGCATCCCTCTTCTTTGCTGCTCCTAGTGAAATACGAACGCATTAAGTTCCTGGTCATCGCCCTGAAGAACTCCGTGGAGGTGTATGCCTGGGCTCCCAAACCCTACCACAAATTCATGGCCTTCAAGGTAATCCCAGCCTCAGCACCTCCAGTACTGCTCCAAGGTCCAGCTCCTCCACCTGTGTCCCCTGAGCCCTTCTCTCCTCCACAGTCCTTTGCTGACCTCCCTCACCGCCCTCTGCTGGTTGACCTGACGGTAGAGGAGGGACAGCGGCTCAAGGTCATCTATGGCTCCAGCGCCGGCTTCCATGCTGTGGATGTCGACTCGGGGAACAGCTATGACATCTACATCCCTGTGCATGTATGCTTTGTGGGGCTGCTGGCAGAGTGGGACCACTAGTCTGGGCCCCAGATGTGGGGACTCCAGCCTACCTTCTCCCCAGATCCAGAGCCAGATCACGCCCCATGCCATCATCTTCCTCCCCAACACCGACGGCATGGAGATGCTACTGTGCTACGAGGACGAGGGCGTCTACGTCAACACATACGGGCGGATCATTAAGGATGTGGTGCTGCAGTGGGGAGAGATGCCCACTTCTGTAGGTGAGTGAGGCGCCTGCCCCCCACACCATGTGTCCTCCAGCTGGCCCACAGCCCACTCACTGCCCCTCAACTCCCTTCTCCCCCAGCCTATATCTGCTCCAACCAGATAATGGGCTGGGGTGAGAAAGCCATTGAGATCCGCTCCGTGGAGACGGGCCACCTGGACGGAGTCTTCATGCACAAACGAGCCCAGAGGCTCAAGTTCCTGTGTGAGCGGAATGACAAGGTGGGAGGGCCCTGGAAAGGCCCGGGCCCCTGTACTGGGCTGGCTCGCATGACCTCAGGACCCCAGACAGAGTTGGGGTAGGGGATGGTTGTAGAGTCTTCCTGAAAGAGGCACCCTCGGGGAGCACAGCATGCAGTCACAGCCTGCCCATCCCTCCTCTTCAGTTTCTGAGAACTCTCCAGATTGCTTCACCCACTGTGTCTGCCAGCTACCCTCTTCCCCAGGCATTTCTGCCTTTCCTTTCAGAGGGGGGATGCAGGGGCACTCTGAGAGACTAAATTCTGCAGCTTCTCTCTGTCTCTTTCCCCCTCTCCCCATCTCCCAGTTAATTGAGACCCCACTCCATCCCTTAGTGACTTCTTCTCCTACCCCACGCAGGTGTTTTTTGCCTCAGTCCGCTCTGGGGGCAGCAGCCAAGTTTACTTCATGACTCTGAACCGTAACTGCATCATGAACTGGTGACGGGGCCCTGGACTGGGGCTGGCCCACATGGACCCACCTCTCCCCCACAGCCAGACTTCCCAGGCCGCCCTTGTTTCCCCTCCCTGGGCTTTTGCTTTTACTGGTTTGATTCACTGGAGCCTGCTGGGAACGTGACCTCTGACCCCGATGCTTTTGTGATCACGTGACCATCCTCTTCCCCGACATGTTCTCTCCCCAAAACTGTGCCTGTCCCAACTTCTGGGGAGAGGCACAGCTTCCCCTTACCAGGAATTGAGTGGGCCTAGCCCCACCCCCCCTTTTCTCCATTTAAAAGGAGAGTGCTTGGGGCTTGGACCCCGAACCCCACTGCTGCTGACTGGGCAGGGCCCTGGGCCCCTTTATTTGCACGTCAGGGGAGCCGGCTCCCCCCTTGAATGTACCAGACCCTGGGGGGGGTCACTGGGCCCTAGGTTTTAGGGGGGTCACCAGCCACTCCAGGGGCAGGGACCATTTCCTCATTTTCTGAAAGCACTTTAATGATTCCCCTCCCCTCAAACCCCAGGGAATGGAGGGGGGACCCCGCCAGCCAAAACATTTCCCCCTTTCCAACCCCCATCTCTTCTGGCCTCTGCCCTTCCCTGGTGGAGGGAGGGAGCAGGGAGCTCCCAACCTCTACACCCCCTTGCTTGCATCTGTATATAGTGTGAGCAGCAAGTAGCCCTGTCCCCTCCCCACCCCACCCCTCCTCAGTGTAGTGGCCTTGGATATCCCATTTGTTAATAAAGACAATTCAACCAGCTCCCACCATTTCAGGCCCCATTTTATTCTCTGTTTTCTCTTACGGTCCTTACATACTAGCCAGGGCAAGCCAGCAGAGCTGGGATGAAGGGGGCAAGGTGGGGTGGAATCTGCAATGAGTGAGTCTTGCTGGGGAGGGCAGTGCTGGGCCAAGAAAACCTGGAAGAAATGACTGAGGGAGGCCCAGGGCCTCAGCCTTAAACCTCTGCGCCTGGGGGCTGGCCTGTGGCTTAGCGGTTAAGTGCCCAGACTCTGCTACTGGCAGCCCGGGTTCGGATCCTGGGCGCGCACCGACGCACCGCTTCTTCGGCCATGCTAAGGCCGCGTCCCACATACAGCAACTAGCAGGATGTGCACTATGACATACAACTATCTACTGGGGCTTTGGGGAGAAAAAGGGAAGAAAAAAAAACCTGTGGGCCTGTGGGGGATCTGCACAGAGGGCATTTGTTCCCTACCCACTCCAGTAGGGTCAGGCCAGAGAGGGACCTGGCTTCCTGGTTCCAGCCTCCCTATGTGCCAGTCCTGCAAAGGGGTGTCTTCTGTTTGGCTATCAGATGAATAAAAATAGCTTAGAAGCTCCTAGGGCTAGAGGGTCACATGGGGCTGGGGCCTGAGAAGAACTGGCAGGTCAGCAAGGCTGACTCGAGAGTGATCTTGCTTTCTGGAGGATTGGTACCCCCTCCTGATTCCTGCTTGGTGGCCAGACCTACATACATGTGCACAGACAACTCTTCTTGGGAAGTTTGCAAAATACAGATTTATTATTGGCAGTGGGAAAGAATCATAATACAGCAGTGGCAGCAACTTTTTTTCAAAATCGATTTCCTCCTGGAGATGGGTGGGAAGGTTGAAGTCAGTGTGGCTAGGGGCTCCAGTCTACATACACGGCGGGTAGGGCAGTTCCGGCACTTGGTTGAAGTAACCCCCGAGGAAGATGAGGCTGGAGCCCACGCTGAAGAGCACCAGAGCGGCCCAGAAGCAGATGTTGTCAAGGGCCTTCCCCATGCACACCCAGTCGGACACCTCCTGGGGAAGGATGGGCACGAGCTGAGTCCCTATAGGCTGCAGAAGCCGGCCGCACGAGGGGGCGGGGGAGGGGGCCTCTGAGGCGCCCCACCCCGCCTCTCTGGCTCCTGCCCCACCTCGCCGGTGGCCTCCTGGTCTCTCGTGCTCTCGGCCACAAAGTTCACGGCATCCACACAGCAGCGGATCTCGGGGGCAGCGGCGCTCAGGTTCTGGCAGAGGGCAGCTAGTGGGGGCAACCCCAGGGGCGGGTTATTAGGAGCCTCCCCCGCTGCAGGCGCCCCCATTGGCCCGCCCGGGCTACTCTGCTCACCGCTCCAGGTCCCGTGCCTGTACCGCTGCCCCTCAAACACGAGCTCGCTCCGCTGCTTTTTTAGTATCAGCTCCTCCGCGCGGAGCAGGATGCCCACGGACGACGCCCGCCTTGGGGGCGAGGCGGCCCGGGGGTCCTCGGGGAGTGCGCCGGAGCCCAGGAGGCGCGGCAGCAGCTCCAACAAGACCTGGGGGCGGGGCGGGGATTAGCCCGAAGCCCCGCCTCCCACCCCCGAGACGCCCACCCGGTGCTTACGTGGCGCAGCCGCGGGGACATGGTGTGAGTGGTGGGGGTCCGCAAAGACACATTGAGCACGATGACGCAATTCACGACAATGAGCGTGGCAACAACCATGACGAAGATGAGGAACCTGAGGAACCCGGAGTGCGTGACGTCACAGCCTCACTACTTCCCCGGAGCCACAAAGGGCGCCGCTCCTCCTCTGACCTCACAAACACACCTCTCCGTAAGGGGTGGGGTTACGCCCCTTAGGGGCCCATCCCTTGCGGGGCCAGACGCGCCCCCTGGCCCTTCTCCCCCTCCTACCTCACGGTGGCAGCCATGAAGGGGACCCCCAGCTCCCTGGAAACCCTGCTGTGGGTCTACCGCTTCCACAGCTCCACGGAGGTGAGGCTACCTCAATGCCCCCCCCCCCAAGGGTAGCACCTCGAGACCCTCTGGCAAAGTCTTCAGCGCCGTGACCCCTGCCCTATGACCCGATGCTCCTTCTACAGGTGGCCCTCCAGCCCCCGCTTCTATCTTCTCTGGAACTCGCTGTGGCCGCAGCCCATGAATATCTGGAGCAGAGGTTCAGAGAGCTGAAATCCCTGGAGCCACAGAAGCCAAAGGAGCCGAAGAAGCCGCCCGTCCCGCAGCCCACCCTGGGGCTAGTGCTCAGAGAAGCCGCGGCCAGCATCATGAGCTTCGGCGCCACCTTGTTAGAGGTAGGGCGCCGGGGGGCGGGGAGGAAGAGGAGATCGGGCAGCGGGAGCAGGGACCTCTGCATCCCCACTGACTCCTGCACCCCCTCTGCAGATCTCAGCCCTGTGGCTGCAGCAGGAGGTGCGGCGACTAGACGGCGGCAACGGCGGCCCGAGCCCAGGCCCAGAGGCCGGGGATCCGGGTGGAGCGCTGGCCCGGGTAGCCCACGCCGCGGGGCAGGGGGCTCGGCAGGCGGGGGCTGCCGCGGGCGCGAGCGCCCGGCTCCTCCTCCAGGGGACGTGGCTGTGCCTGTGTGGACGGGGTCTGCAGGGGTCCGCCTCGTTCCTGCAACAGTGGCGACGCCAGCTGGGCCTCGGAACCCCCGGGGAACCGGTGAGTTCGGGATGGGGGGTGAGTTGGGGGCCAGAGGCGGCGGGGCTGGGGAAGCACTGAGCCGGCTCGCCCCCAACAGAGATACTCAGGAGACCTCAAAGTGGCGTCCAGCAGCAGTGCGGAGGACGGGGGACCAGAGAATCCACCACCGTCCCACCCCACCCCGGGTCCAAGTAAATAAAGCCCAGGAGCCGACCAGCCAGCCACGGCTGCTCCCCGAGTCGTTTGTTTGACCCCGCCCTCCCCGCGGCGACCCTCCTGGCTCCGCCCCGTTGGCTCCGCCCTTCAGGCTGGGCACGCCTCCACCTGGGCACCGCCGGGACCCACTCTGCGCTCACCTGCCCAGCAGCGGCACGCTCAGAGACGTCTCTGGGGTTTTCTGGGCAATTAGGAACAGGAAGACGGTCTGGGCAAGCAGGACGTTGATGGAGACCGTGCATTTCTGGCCGCCGGCTAGAGGGAGCGCCGGGTGAGAGCAGGCCCCGCCCCCAGGAGCGAGCCCGGGGTTAGGGTCGGGGCGCCTCCCTACCCTGCGCCGGCAGGAAGTAGGCGAGCAGCACTAAGCCCGAGATGAGCACGCAGGGCACGATGATGTTAATAACGTAGAAGAGCGGCTTCCGGCGAATGATGAGCGTGTAGATGACGTCAGTGTCCCCCGGGCCATCAGCGGCGCCACCGTCCTGGCGGCGGATCACCCCCGGGCAAAAGTCGATGGCCCACTCGCCGTTCTCTGCAGGACGGGAGGTGCGGTCAGCCCGCCCTCGGGGGTGGGTCGCCCTGCCCTGCTCTCCGGCCCCACAGCAGACCGCAGGGTAACTTCGGGCCCGAGGAGAGGACGCAGCTGTCTGGACTAGGGTGGGCGGGGCAGATGATCTGGACTGTTCGTGCCATGGGCCGTCAGATGAGCACAATTCGGGCAGAAAGGGCCATTCATGGTGAGGGTACGACCGACCACAAGCGAGGAAGCAGGACTAGTCTGACAGTCGAGAATGGTTTCAGGAAAGGGGCAAGTTCAAGCCCGGTTGCCCAAGTCAATCCCCTGTATCGATGGTCTGGGCAACCCCACTCTGCAAATGTCCTCTCCGGACCCCGTCTAGAAGCAGGTTTTTCAGAGCAGAAGGGGCCTCACCAGTATAGGCCTCGGTGTCGATTTCGATCTTGCTGATGGTCTCGCCGTCATCGCCCACGGCAAAGACGAACTCCACCTCTTCGGCATTGTACGTCTGAGAGCTGCAGAGCCAGGGCCCGGGCCCCCACCCCAGAAGCTCGGACCGGAGCCCTGGCAGGGGCATAACGCTCCACCCCATTACCCAGGCCCCGCCTCCACCCCGTTTCCACCTTACTTCTAACCGGCTCGAGCGGCCCCACCCCATTCAAAAGCATGGCTCCGCCCCCAGCACAAAGCCCCGTCCCCGGGCTAGAGTTCCCCATCTGGCCCCGCCCCTGCTCCATAATCCCATAATCCCATAATCCCATAACACTCCGGGCCTCTGAGAAACTCTTCCCACCGGAAAACGAGCGAGCAGTTCTGCCAGTCGAAGGGGAAGTAAGTGACCTCTACGGCGCAGGAGCTGCGGTAGATGGCTGGGGGCAACCAGCTCACGTAGCCGCCGGCGTAGACCAGCACGTTGGCGTCGTAGGCCACGCCGAACTGGCCGTCAATACTGTGGGCTCGGGGAAACCCAGCGTTTGCGGAGGCCTGCGGCCCCCTCGCCCTCCAAGCAACCTGCCTCCCCAACCAGTTCCAGCCCAGACCCCCCCAGGCCTCAGCTTCCCTCCAGTCCGGCCCAGTCCTCACTTGTTTTCCAGCACAATCTCTGGTAGCCATACGAGTTCTGAAGGGACTCGCAGGGTTTCTATGCCCCCAAAGTCGTCCTTGCTGTAGTTGAGTCGGTAATCTTGCCAATCCTAAGGGGTGGGGGACGGAGGACGTGTGCCCTGCATCTCCCACCGGGTGCCCGCGAGGAGTTTGGGAGAAAGGGGTCCCCTGGACAGGGCCTTACGCTGTTCCCCAGATTTGACTCACGATTCCAATCCAAACGCTGGTGGTGAGGGTCTCCTCTTTCTCGTTCTGCAAATGGAAGATCAGGATGATTGAAGTGGAATTTCAGGGCCAGAAGTGAGTTTTGGGACAGAGCTCAGCGATTGGGGCCGGAAGTGGGATTTTAGGCGCAGAGATGGAGCTTTGGGGTGGGGGTGGAGGTATCTTACCAGTGAGATGAGATTGGTCAGGGTGACCTTGAGGGTGATGGTGACGGTGTCCTCAGGCCCCTTCACTGGCCGGCTTTCTGGGTCATAGTTGTCAAAGAGATGGTGATAAAGACGCAGCTCCTCGTTTTTCCCCTCGCCTCTGCCTGGGGATGGGGTCAAGCAGTGGGGTCGCTGGAGATGAAGAGGCTACGGGGCCTCTCCTCTCTGCCTCCTCTGGGTTGGCGCAGACTCTGCGTGTCTGTCTCTGAGGCTGTGTATTTTTCCATGTGTGTCTCCTGAATTAGTGACATTGTGCCTGGGAACCAAATATCGCCTCAGTCTACATCTTGGTCTCTGTCTTTGTCCTGTCCCTTTTTGTCAGTATCTTTGTGAATGTCTGCCCACCTCCCCTGACCCCTGTCCATACCAAGGAGCTGCAAGACGAGCAGGGCGCCGAGCAGAGCCCCTGCCATCCTGCTGTCTGGTCCTCGCATTATTCTGAGCTTTAACAGGCTTGCAGGGTGCATGAGTGAGGGGGAGGGGGGTGTTAGTTCCGGGCCGAGTTAGGGGACTGTCACCTAATCCTCTTCCCACCCCTACTGCAGCCAGGAACATCTTGGCTGCTTCCAGAGGCAGCTGCCCCATCCTGTGTTCCCTGCCCCCGCCCCATCCCAGTATCCTTTGCCTGGCCTTCGGCCAGCTCCCCAGCCACAGACCCGATCCTCTCATGACTGGAGCAGCCCTGATGCAGGTGGACAGGTCCTTTAAGGGCCTGGCAGCGGGGGATGGGGGGCCCTGCTTTGAACATGCACTGGTGTCCTTTGAGTAAGCTGCCCTGTGCCGGTGACATCCCTTGCCTCCCACATTCACCTGTGTGGAACACACATTATCACCACACAGCCTGGCCAAGGTCACACTAATGCAGTTTCTGCTGGCAGAGTTTGGCAAAAGCAAAGTCTCCATAAAGACCTGGTAATGAGACAGGCGGTCACGGGATTAGTCTGCAGTAACAGACTCCACCTGGCAAAGGAGACCATGCAGCAGTTCAGGGCCTACCTCTTCCCACAACCTCATCTGCATGCCTGCCCCAGCCCCTCTCATTGGGCGCCTGCCAGAGATGGTCAGTTTCTCCTTGCCTCTCCCTGCTGCCACCTTGTGGCCACAGGTGATAGTACCGTCTTCCCCACCCCAAACACACCCCTTAACTAGTCCTCTCAGTGTTTCCTGAAGTCTCCTTGGACCACCCTAATCAGTCACCTGGGGTGCTCATTTAAAATTCACATTCCTAGGCTCCACCCCTAAAGAACCGTGATTTAAGAAGATGGCGGAGATGGGGTGCCAGGAATCTGTTTTTTAAGAAGCTATCCAGCGCCGGCCCTGTGGCTTGGCGGTTGAGTGCGTGCACTCCACTACTGGCGGCCCGGGTTCAGATCCTGGGCGTGCACTGATGCACCGCTTCTCCAGCCATGCTGAGGCTGCGTCCCACATACAGCAACTAGAAGGATGTGCAACTATGACATACAACTATCTCCTGGGGCTTTGGGGAAAAAAAAAGAGGAGGATTGGCAATAGATGTTAGCTCAGAGCAGGTCTTCCTCAGCAAAAAGAGGAGGATTAGCATGGATGTTAGCTCAGGGCTGACCTTCCTCACACACACACAAAAAAATGCTATCCATATGTTTCCTCGTGGGCTAGGAGGTGCTGGACTAAGCGCTTTGGGTGCCTTACACATTGCTTCCTCACAGCAATCCAGCACAGCAGTTACCACAGATCTGAGTGCACGAAAGAGGACTCGTAGGTCGGGTCCAAGGTCACACAAGTAGATTGGCAATAACGCATGAGATTTATCAATCAGCTTTATTGATCACGTACAGCTGTGTTCATTTTACACCTCACAAAACCCTTTCATGTCCATCATTTTTGGGTCTCCTTCCTCTCCCTGTGAGCTCCCTCATAATCACCCCCATGTTACAAGCAAGGACACCAAAGACCAGAGGGTCCACGAAGCTTGTCCATTTCCCACACATCCTTGAAGCCTCCGCTTCCACTGCTAACTGCCTTATCATTCCACGATTTCCACTCCAGACCCTCAGAAAGAATCTCTTTGGCCCAGCTCACCTTGCACGTGGCTGAGACATGCACTGACTCTAAAATCTGTGCTGCTGCTTGTTCCGCAGCCTCCGGGTCAGGGCCTAGGCCAAGAGTTGTGACAAACGCAGATATTTACTCAATGGGCATCTACAAGTTTCCCTGCACAGGGCCAGATGCTCGGATTGTAGAGATAAGACATGGCCTCAAGGAGGAGAGAGAGACCGAGAAACAGACAGTGACCCCAGAACTGTCCAAGGGTAACAAGCAGGAGCCCTGGAAGCTGTAGGTAGGGTACGATGTCACTCAGCTTCTTTGTGTTACAAAAATCAGATCCACAGCCAGGTTTCCTGTGGGCTTGCACATGGATGGAACAAACTGGACCAGTGTCAGAGGCCAAGGCAGCTCTGGGGACCGGCCACTCCCGCCTCTCCTGCCTCTGCTCTGTCTGCTCTGTGTTCCTCTCACTCCTGAGCAGCTGCCTTTTCTCTCTACTTTGTACACCCCTTTCTGCTGTGTGCTTTCTGCTTTCTCATAGCTTCGGCATCATTTCCCCATGGTCTTGGCCCCAAATCGACCTCTTGGCTTCTCTCTGCAGATGCAGCCAGTTCAGCCTTTGCTCCCATTGCTGCCTGCCTGATGTCACGAGGCTGTGGGGGCAGGCACAGAACATTCACGGAGTTGGCCTAAGACTGCCCAAGGGTGGTCAGTGTGGCCACACACATGTCCAGAGCCTTCCACCCTTACCAGCCCAGCCCACTTCCTACCTATTTACTTCCCAAAACACCCTGTCATGATCCCATTCTCACTGCTACAACTCAAAATGCACTATAGCCTTCCCAGCAGGATTGAAACTTGATGTCCTACTTCCAAGAGCGATTGGGGCAGGGGCCGTCAAAAAACCTCTTGACCTCAGAGTCCAGTGCCCTCAGATTTACATAGTCTCCTCCAGGTGTGATTTCCATCCATTCTCCAAACTGTGGGATAAATCCCCAATTTAATCATCACCTACACCATGTATAAACAGTGTATCACATTCACACACCACATCTTGTAAGATACATGAGTTGGGCAAAACCACATTTGGACCAAGCTGCGTGTAGGAGAGTAGTTTGGGGGTGGAGGGAGGGTGGAAATACTCATCCCTTGATGCCCAACCCATGTACTGCAGCTTGGGCCATTGGCCCGAGGCATGGATCACATTCTACAGGAGGGCATTTTGCTGTAGAGTCCCCAGCTGGGGCTCTAACTTGCGAGTGGAGGTCTTGCTCAGACCAGTGAATCCCACAGGAGTCTGACTGAGTCAGCACATCAGAAAACCTTCCCCTGGGGAGTCTGCAGGAGGGGCTCTTACCCCCTCCCCCTCCCATCCCCACCCCCACCCTGCAGCAGTCCATTCTGTTCCGGTGTGCTGGGCCAGAGCTGAGCCACTGTCTTCTGTGTTTGCTCAGGATGACGACAGCCTGAGGGCCTGAGACTTCCTGCCAAGTCGGTGGAGCCAGGCCTGGGTTTGTATTTCTGTAATGAAAATTCCACAGAACCTTGGTGGGCTGCCTGACAACTTTGTTTCTGGGGACGGGACGTCTTGACTTCCAAGCTAGACCCAAAGATCTCAGCTCAACAGGAAGCCACTCCCTTCACCTACTGGCTCTTGGCTGGCAACTCAGAACAGCTGCAGCTGCCCCCGTGGCCGGGGCTGCCAGGCTCTGTTTCTTAGGCATCAGTACCCTCATGGTGGAAATATCCCTGAGCTGGTCTGACGAGGGCCCCCTCTGCCTGCAGCAAAAAGAGCTCCTCTCTCTTTTGTGAACGGGCAAGTGGGTTTGGCTGAGCCTGGACAGGAGGTAGAGCAGACACTGATATCCAGACCGTCTCCCTCACTAGAACCTAAGCTCTCTGGTCGCGGAGACCTTGCTGGTTACAGAGCTTAGCACATGATAGGCACTCAATAAATATTTACTGAACAAATGAGTAAGAATAAATGAAGGATGAGTGTTATCTTCCCAGCACCCTCCCTTCTACTGAGAACTGTTCTTCTCCAACCATGCAACCTCAGGATCTGCCCAGTACTTAGAGACACTCCCCACCTCCCACCCCACCCCCCTCCCCTGGCCAGAACTGATGGGTCCGGGGGAGGACACCTGACCCAGGCCAGGCCAAAGAAAGTCTTTCCCTGAGAATTTGTCAAGCAGGAACTCAGGAAGTCAGTCTCTCTGCTGTAGGAGCTGAAAGATATGAAATTTAGATGCATGAGGCAGCCATGTTCATTCCTCATCTTTTACGAGGAGTGAGAGAGAAGGCGGCTGATGCACAAAGACAAGTAGAGACAAGAAAGGGCTGTCAGCACCCCAGCTCCCGGTCCCAGAAATTCCTGAGGCCCAGCTGTGCTGTCTCCTCCTGCAGGCTGGTGGCCAACACTTCCTTTGATGGAATGAGGCACCTCAGCATCTTTCCAGTAAATCCCCCTTTTCCAGGCTTAAAAATATTAAGATTAAAAAAATAAACTAGTATAAAGAAAATAAAAATGCCCCATAACACAGTACCCAGAAAAACCCTACTGATAATAAAAAAGTAATATGTGCCATCACTGGAAAATTAAAGGGTACAGGAAGTCATCATGAGAATCCAAAGCTTTCCTCTTTCCACCCAGTCCCTCTTCCCAAAGGTTAGCAGTTTCTCGTAAATCTAGTTCTTCTAGACCAAAGTCTAGCATAGGTGTGTGTGTATATATGTGTATATATGTATTTATTTATTTAATGTATACGAAAAGCATTAGAGTACGTTTACTATTCTGCAACTTTTTCTCACTTAATATACTGTAGAGATTGGCCCATATCAGGGCAGACAAGTCTTCATCTTTTTAACTGCTGCACACTCTTCCATTGTGTGAATGCACCATAGATCATTTATGCGGTTCCCAATGGAGAGACATTTAAGGTGCTAACCGCTGTGGATTTTGTGATTACATACTATGCAACAGTGAACATATTTATGCATTTGTCTTTGGCATACTTTTGGAAGTGTATCCATAGGGTAAATTCTTAGCGGTGAAATTGCTGGGGCAGAGTTCATGCATTTTTTTTTAAAAACAGCTGTTGATGCCTTTTGCCAAATTGTTCTTCAAAAAGCATGTACCCACTTACGTTCACGCCAACAGAGGATGAGAATGCCTGCTTCCTCATACCCTTCCCAAGATGGAATATTATCAGACTTTTAAATTTTTGCTAAACTGATAAGTGAAAACTCCTATCTCATTATTTAGATTTACATGTCTTGATGAAAAATGTTGAACTTCTTTTCCAGTGGATGTACTGGTCATCTATATGTATTTCTTTTTTATGAAAACTGCTTATTCATATCAATGGAACAAAATATTATTTGTTCCAATATATGAGAATCTGCAATACAATAAAAATAAAATAGTATATTAATGTAGAAAATAAGGCTTAATCAAATAAATGCTGTTGAGACAACTGGAAAACCAATCGTCAAAATACCCACCAGTGCCTCAATCTCTCTACTTCCACTAGGTGGTCAGATATTTGAACCTAAAATGAAGCCAAGAAAGTCCTAGAGTAACGTCAGGATGGATGATTCATCATTGCAGAGGGAAGAAGGCTTTTCTTCCCTTCCCTGGAGCTCCAAATCAGACACCATAAAGAAAAAGAAAAAATACAAAAAACTTCTGTAGGGTCAAAAGTATAAAACCGAAGGCAAGTAAATTATAAACTGAGAGAAAATAGCTTATCTCCTCTATTAATAAAGTGCCCGTAGAAAGCCATAAAAAGCGGACACGGTGGTGACATCACTTGGCCGCTGGCTGGTTCCCTCCTCGAGTGTAAAAGCATTGCTGCGCGACTGTGAGAAAGCCCTGGGAAGAGAGAGGGCGGGCGGTCCCGGTGCTGGAGGGAAACAGCAGGCCAGAGCCAAGGGCGGCTGGCTCCCCTGGAGAGAGGTGAAAATGGCAGAGACTCATAATAAATAACCTTAAAAAGAGAGGGGCAGAAATGAGAGAGAGAGAGACAGAAGGAGGAGGAGGAGGAGGAGGAGGAGGAGGGAGGAGGCAGGCAGGGAATGGAAAGGAAGAGGAGGGAGACGGCTCGGCGGGCCCCTTGGGGATCTGGCGGCGCTGAGCGCAGCCATGGCGTCCCCTGGGCCCCGGGTGAAGCGTTCGCCCTCCCCAGGCTGCGATCTCTTTACCGACCTGAGTAAAGAAGAAAAAGGCCTTGGGACTGACCGGTACAGGAAAGAAAATCCATACTGGTCATGCTGTT